TGCAGCAGAGAAGTCGTAAGAACAAGAAACTTCCTTCAGAGTAACTTTGTTTGGGAGCCAGCGTGGAGAGGTGGGTAAGGACTTGAATAAGCTGCTGGGAGACTTGATTCTAGTCCATCCTCAGCCAAAGAAGTGCACTGGGGCACTTTGGGCCGGTCATTCTCTCTCAGCCCAACCTACCTTAAGGGGTGGTTGTGGGAAAAAATGAAGGAAGGAGGAATACATAAATTCATCTAAATCTAGATATGTATAGGCAGGAAGGCAAAAGATCTTGGAAAATCAGTGTGGTGTAGCGGTTGAAGTGTTGGATTGGGAGTGAGAAGACCCAGGTTCTGGTCACTCCTGGGTGATTCTGAGCCGGAAACGTTCTGTCAGCCCAGTCTTCCTCACAGGGTTGTTGTAAGGAAACACAGGAGGAGAGAACACTGAATGCTGCATTGAACTGCTGAAGGAAGAACAATATAAATCTAACATAATTGAAATCAGTAGAATATAGCCAAAGGTTTCATGACTTTTAAAACCCATTAATTTTATATTCCAACTTTGATCCTTGGAGCTGAAAGAAGCATGCGTGGCTTGTTCCCTTCTCACCCCTGTGCTGTCATTACAAAAATAATGACAAGTAGGCTACTGTAAGAGACCATGATTGTCCAGAGGCTGCATGACCCTATCCCTGAGAATGCAGCGAAATGTGCATGATGGAACTTGGAATTGTCAGGAGTGCCTTAAATCAAGTCCATCTTCTCCTGCTTCGTGTGACAGCTGTGCAGGAATCTTCATGATCCCAGAAAAAGAGGTCATTCCTACAAGGTGCCCCCAACAGTTTTTTTTTTTTCTTTTTGAGTCCAGATCTCTGATCCTAAGCAAGGGGTCCTACATTTGGACAAATGTTTTTCACTTCCTGTTGTTGGGGCTCCTGGGTGACCAGATAGGACTCAGTATCATGTTTAGCATGACTAATTTGAAAAAGGTGACACCAGTAGAGTTACCAAAGCCGTGGGTGTACAGACTGGGGATTTGCCAGAGGGACTCTGCAGGACAAATACTCAGGGTTTCATCCAGACTTCTCTGCTTCCAGGATATTCCACTTCCTTTCCCCTTGCTTTTCTAGCTTACAGCCATAAACACCAAGGTTAGGTTTTTGGAGCTGCAAAATGATTTTTCCCTTTCCTAAAACGTAACTTCTGTAAACGTTGGGGTTCTTCCAAACCATAGATGGGGATTTTGGCTACCTAAACTGCATTTTGAGATCCAAGCTCAGTGTGATAAGCCAAGATCATTACATACACTGGCATGCTGTAAAGCATTTTGTGGCAGAATGTCTGTATTAACAGCTGCACAGAACGTGAGCCTTTGAAACACTATTGGGGAAGGTAAGAAGACACAACTTTTTAAAATTAACTTCCAAGAACTAACAAAATGGCTATATAAGTTTTATGCGTTAAGCAGATCTAGTGAGCAACTAGCATTATCACTTAAAGCAAAATGCAGATGTTATCTACTACTTGAAGGGAGAGCTGGAGGTTTCATTTGAAACAAGATTTCCAGGGCTTTCAAAGACCTTTCAATTTTTCCATCATTTAGGATAAATTGCAGATTTTCACTAGGATTTGTAGGAAATAGTTCTCTGCAGATAGAAGAAACAGCAGAAGTACATTAAAAAAAATAAATTCACCTACTTGCATTTTTAGTACATTACTAGCTTTTCAAGGCTGCTGACAAAATTAAATACAATGAAAATAGCACAGTTTATTTACCCTCATAAGCACACCCACCCCTTGTACCAGTAAAAACACATCGTGATAAAATGATGGGTAAGATTGACCCCAGGAGGCTGATTGGAAAATCTATGCAACTTTTCCTTGTTTGCTGCTCCCAGTATTTTTGCCAGAAAACATTCAGAGAAGAGCCATTGCTAAAAGGAAACCACAAGGACAGGAAGGGCACCAGGGAATGGCACACAGTTAAGGGTTTTGGAAGGAAGTAGAGGAATGAACAAGATTCTTCCCATTGCAAATTTTTCCTGATGATTGAAACCGTCCTGGTTTACTTAATTAATTTATTATTCAATTTGGATGCTGCCCAACTCCAACCAACTTTGGAATCTGCTGGGTGAGAAGCCCCCGTGAGTGTGGCTTTGCAAAGACTCTCTCCTTAGGATCCAGTTGGGTGAGTTTTAGAGATTACATCAGTGTTTCTCAACCTTGGCAACTTTAAGATGTGTGGACTTCAACTCCCAGAATTCCCCAGCCAGCATGAATTCTGGGAGTTGCCAACTTTTAAGATGTGTGGACTTCAACTCCCAGAATTCCCCAGCCAGCATGAATTCTGGGAGTTGCCAACTTTTAAGATGTGTGGACTTCAACTCCCAGAATTCCCCAGCCAGCATGAATTCTGGGAGTTGAAGTCCACACATCTTAAAAGTTGGCAAGGTTGAGAAACACCGAATTACACCATGAACCTTTTCTCTGGCAAATTAATCTTCAGCGTCTCAGGAAGATCCTGCATATATGCCACCAGTACTGCTGCTGTTACAACCAAGAAAACAAGTGGATCCTTGAACAAATCCACCCTAAGTTCTCACTCAAGACAGAAATGACCAGGCTCAAATTATCCTCCTTCAGATACCTTATGAGAAGACCCAGCTCTCTGGAGAAGGCTCTGATGTGGAAAGGTGGAAGGAAAGAGAAGAAGACGTCCAGCAGCAAGAAGGAGGGACTCAGTTACAGTAATGAGGGGGGCACCCTTGGAAGATCTGGGGGACAGATTCTCCTGGAGACAATCTATCTATCTGGTCACTAAGTCAGCACAGACTTGATGGCATCTCATCACTGCTGCTGTTGCTTTTTGGGTGGACTAGACGGGGAACTTGTATTAGTTGGCGAATGGTTTAAAGTCAGCTGTTCTATTGTTTGGATTTATTTTATTTATTTATTTATTAATCAATCAAATTCGTACAGCTGCCCATCTCACAGAAATTTATTTGCTTCTTACTGTTTTTATTACCAGGCCAGCTCTCATTCAGGAGCTCAGAGAATCTCCTCCTTCCTTTTTCTATTAGAACCCCAACCCTGTGAGGTGGGAGGGGCTGAGAATTAGTCAGTGTTTCTTTAATTCACTCGTTTTGTTGTTTCTTTAATTCACTTGTTTTGCCAGCCTTTCTGCTCTGCCTTCACGGGGGCTCAGGCACATTTAAAAATGGAAAACAGAATGTAAAACGTTCTTCAGGACAGGTTAAAAATAGCAATGAAAGAAATGCAAAACTCACTGAGCAACCAGGAAGCGTATTCCATAGCCTGGGACCGATGCTAGAGAAAGAGCTCTTCCATGGGCTAGAAAGTTTTTAGAGCTGTACAAATTAAAGGTGGGAGATGATGATGATGATGATGATGATGATGATGATGATGATGATGATGATAGGAGAATCTTCAGATGAGCCGCTCTTGCTGATCTTAACAATGGACAACAATGTCCACAACAGGAGAGGGTTTCTTGGATGGTCAGTTCCTAAGCCACTTTGGACAAGAAAGATCAAGACCAGCACATAAACATGTGCCTAACGGTTAACTCCTGCAGATTTTTCAGTGTAGGTGTGTAACAATCCACATATTTTCCCTGCGTTAGCAGTATGAAACTTCTCTAGCTGCAGATGGACTTAGAGCTCAGTCTCCAAGGAGGTCCATATGGTTCGGTCAAGACAGCTGACATACATGGCGCTTCAACCGCACCCTCATTTATTTATTTATTTATTTGTATTATTTATTTAAATTTATCAGCCACCCAACTCCAGGAGAATCATCTGGACCACTTTGACCACACCTTGCAGACACCCCCCTAAGTCTCCCTACGACACAAGCCACCAGAATATTTGAGGATCAAGTCAGTAAATGCAAGGATAAAAACAACAGTTCAATTAATTTGATTGGACACGAAGCTGGGTTTTTAATAAAAGAAGTAGCTGAAACAATCTGCAGAAAAAGATGACGTTTCCAGTTTATCCCAAGTTACACGTGGAATCTTGTCTTTGCTGTCGCATCCTATCCTGCGTATTTGTGTCTACCTTATGTCTTAAACGGTGTGATAGTTTCTGCCTGCCTTTTGACCACAATGGGTCAATACAGTTGATGTGAGCATAATTTTGAGTTTTGAAGGCAAAAACCAACTACAAAGGGGTTTCATTGATCCAGTCTCCCTATCCTTGCTTGCTGGGTGTGTGTGTGTGTGTGTGTGTGTCAAAAAAATCAAGATGGCCATGGTTCCCCTGTAGATGCCTTGTTTTTCTTCCTGGCCCCCTTCAAATGACTACTGTATTCTGGCACACTGCACTGAAACCGCATTCCTGTTCTTGCCAATTGACTAATTCCTAAACGTTCTGTATTTTCTGATATTTTATAAATCCCTTGTCTTCTTGCCCCAAGTTTGCAAGATGGCATCTGTGCACAATCTAATGAGGTTTTGGTATTGTTGTCTAAGATCTTTCCTACTGTTCTGAAATCGCTCAGTAGAATCATAATCCTGCTAGGATAAAATTCACACAGAAACTACCAACGATAAAAAGAGTTCTGCATAAAAGGCGTAGAAAGTAGCTTTGGGACAGGTGGGGAAGACATGTTGTACCATGTAAGTAAATTTCAGGGAAAAAAATGGTAGATTGGCACAGAAGCAGCCAGATTTTGCTCTGGGAGCCCCAGTTACTTCTACGAATTCAGTGACCTCTGTAGACCTTCTCCATATCTGCACATTGTCTAAAAAACATCTTTTCTGCTATATCTTTAGAAGGCCAGAGCAGGAACTGTCAAAGCTCTTTATTAAAGAATCTGAAGCTTCTCCAAAAGTCATGAGAATAAAATCTGGAATTTTGAAATGATCGTCCACACCACCATCTCCAAGGGAAAGAGGAACCGGTGCTGATTCAGAGTCACAAGCGTTGGAGGTACTTCTCTGGAACTTTAGGACCATGATTGCAAGGTAAAATCTGGAAACAATATTATGTGTTTGACTGCAAAAATGTCTCTCTATAGATACCTAGTAAAAATGAAGTATTTCATTCAATATATTGGTGTTTTCACATTCATAAAGGATTTTTCTGCAGGAGTTTATTCCACCTGATCATTCATCTACTTTTTCTTCAGCCATTTCTGTTATTTAGCGTTCACATGCTGGGAATCTGTAACGTTGGCTTCATGGTTCAGAAGATCTTCTCAAATGGACTGAGGATGTTCCTTCTACAAGGAGGTTATGTGATGCTGAAGGAAGGCATGCTACTGTTCCAAAAGCACACTATAATTTCTTTTTCTGGAGTTGTCCAGCCAGAATGCCAGCCTGTTAAAATTGAAAGCATGGTCTCGTGATCAATAAGTCTTATTGTACTACTGTATTTTTAGTTTTATACTACTCCTGAAAAAGAAGAATAAAAAATAAGTTTATTTTCCTGGGCTCATAAACTGCTGCAGTTGCAAACAAGGTTAAAATATGAAAGTAAATCAAAGCATATTGACCACAGTGTAGATCACACACCTATAATATTGGGCACTACTCATTCAGTCAAAGAAATTCTACTGTTAAGAGGGAACATCACAACATTCTGGTCCTCAGGAATAAAACCACTTATTTAAAACACACACACACACAAAAATGTGTGGAATGAAAACAAAGTTGGTTTTAAAAATCAGTCTCCTGGAGGATTATTCCAGCAAATGCCCAAGTGAACAGCCATGGCTTTGTCATTTAAAGAAAACACAGTATGGGACCCAATAATATTTCCCCATGGAAAAGTTTCATAATTTGAACTCTTCCACCAAGAAAGCCCTGCTGATGATCTGCAGCGTGAACTGAGAAGGTCCCAAGGAGAACTTCCCTGGTTGATCTTAGCACACAGATTGGGTGATGCTGTGCAAACTGATCTCTTACATACTTGGGGTTCTGAACTCTTAGGATTAGAACAGACAAGAGGATTTCCGCCAGCTTAAGCAGATGGAGAAGAAAGTAATACAGCATATTTGAATTGGGCCCAGGAGCAGTTCATACGCCTCCACCGCAGTGCTTTCAGGACCAATTTAGGTAGCCCTGTTAGCAATCTGACAGCTGTGTTCTGTACCAGCTATGTCTTGCAAACCCACTTTAACATAGCCTAACTGGAAAATGTTGCAGTAATTCTTTTCCAGCCCAAAGTGGGCCTCATACTCCACTCTGTTTCATGCCAAATGCAGTTAGACTTGATCAGGTCTCTGCTGGTAATAATGGAAGTGGTGGAAGATCTGAGGCATCATTTCAAAGGGAACTGCACATCCGGTGGAGAAAAATTAGCTTTTTCATCTCTACCCGCATCATCAGATGCTATTTTAAAGCCACCCAGCATGGAGGAGAGAGATCTTTCCAAAGGCAGCCTTTCCACGAATATGAAGGGACATGAATATGGGGAGGAGGATGCGACATGTGGTCCCTAGGCCAGAGGGTTCCCGGTGTTTGAAGTAGGATCTATTTCACTCCAGAACATTTCTTAGAAGAAAGAAGATAAGGAGTAATTCAACAGAGGCCTGAACTTGTTTAACTCTTTAGCTTTTGATGGTTTACAGTTCATGGCGTGAAGGATTCTACTGAAAATAATGGTATTCTAAGTAACATGAGAGAGTATGTTTCTGCAGGGTCCAATTGGTGATGGCTCTCTTCATACATGCAAGCCACTACTTGATGGTTTCATCAGTAAAACATTAGTAGAGCTAATCTAGGCTAGTTCACATCATATCCATGGGACCTGCCTCTTAAGAGCCCCCCATCTCTGAAGTGATGAGATGACAGGCCTTCTCTGTGGTGGCCCCCATACTTTGGAACTCTTTAACCCCCAGAAGTCTGTAAGGCTCCCTCCCTCATGGATTTTAGAAGATATTTAATGACAATTTTATTTCAATGGGCCTTCAATCCTAGCTAAGGCATTCATCTTGGTAGAAGGTTGGTGTATTATTACTGTTATTTTCTTTATGTTTTGATTTATTCCTATCATTACATTTACAACTTTAATGTGTTGTAACCTCCCCAGAGTATTTTGAGTTGGGTGGGCTATAAAACTTTTGAATCCATAGTTGATTAACTATGGGAGACTGTAATGAATCATGGCTTCAGTTTTTTGTATGTCTGTAAATATACATCTTTTTATTTAAAAAAATCTGTTGAATGAATGAATGAATGATTTCCTCTAATACATTTCCAGGAATCTCTGAACATCCCACAAATCTTCCTAGCTACTTTTTATATCAGTTGCTCTTTTCACATTCTTACCTTTAATAGCCTGTATTCTCAGATAAGTTCCAGAAATCACATATTTTAGTGATTGTGGCTGAGTCTTGGATTATTCTATTTAGGAAGACCGGAATCTGCTCTTGGTTTTACTCTGCAGAAATGTTGAGTTCTCCTCCAGTTCTCCCTTCCCAAGTCCCACCACAATTATCTTTCTGCTTGAGTTATCTTTTTGGAACATTGTTTATGTTGCTGTGATGCCTTGGTCCTTGGACAACCTACTTACTCAAAGAATGTAAGAATGCAAAGAGGGCTTTACTTGGTCTCACTGAAGGCCATCCTACAGCCCATCTTGCTTCTCACAAAAGCCACTGGTGATGTACCAAGAAGCTGTCCTGCAGTGGATCCTCTCATCAGCTAGCATGTTCTTCTCCAGAGGGGTTTGGAACCAGACCAAGAATCCAATTACTTACCAGTAAGTGCTTTACCATTTTATCTCTTGGGACTTTCAGGAATGGGCAGCCTCCCCCTTCACAAAGTTTGCTCTCTTCAGAGTCCTGAATACGAGAAGAGGGAAGAGAAAATAAAGCAGTAGATTTAGACCAATCTTCCCTGAGCTGGCAGCCACCCGATGTATTAGTCCACAGCTCCCATCCTCTTCAGCTTGCAGGCTGCCTGGGGATAGGAGTATCAGTTTAACACATCTGAAGTGACCGATGTGGACAGATGATCTAGGTTTAAAGGTAGCATTGATGTACCTCAAGGCTCGGGGGCAAAGCAATCTCTCGCTTCCCTCCAGGATACCAGCCGTGGGACCAGTGCTGCGCTGTTGCCAGTTGCATGCTGATGGAAAAAATGATGCAGAAGAAGAGCATGAGGGATCTTTGGCACACCATAGTGTGGTCTGCAGCCCTGCTATCCCTGTGGAATCTGGAAGGAGGGGAAAAAGGAAATTTGGAATCTTTCTCAGCAGGGTTACTGTCAGCACTCAAGTCTCATCTCAGTAATGCTAAGTGAAGCACAGTTACGGAGATAATGGCCAGGATCCTCTTCTGCCCATCAAGGTCATCTGGAGAAGTTCTCCTCCATGTGGCACTTTTCCCTGACATGCAATTTAAGGGTAGCTGTGACAAAGCCTCCTCCCAACTCCCACCAAATTCTGAAATTTATCTGGTGCCTTCCAGTTCTCAAAACTCTTTTGAATAAATATGGCTTTGATCTATATTTCTAATGTTCACATGTCTGTTTCTTTGGTTAGTTAGTAGAGGTTTATAGTTTTAAATCTAGTGTGTTTTGAGGTTGAAAGCTGACATGCTCAAATAAAGGCTACTAAGAAGAAGTATTTTGCTCATATAAATCTAGATAATGAGACTGGGGGTTTCTTTCACAGGATCAATGGCAAATCCTACAGCCTTCGTGCTTTCAGAAATGGGAGTGGAAACAGCATGTTTCTGTAATGGTATGTGAGAAAGACCTTTAGAAATGGGGCGAAGAGACGCTGCTGGGGGAACGGTCAGATAAGAGAGGGCATAGCCTGCAGCTGCATAACGGACAGAGAAAGAAACTCAGAAAGGATCCTCCCCAACTTCTCAGGCTGTGAAAGAGATAGCGGGAGATTTGTACTTTCAGACTTGCAAGATTCTGTTCATGCAGCCTTACAATAAAGTAGAATTCGCTCATCTGGTCATGTTTCCTGCCTGGTCTACCTGGGAAGGCTGACAGTTTCCAACCCTGTCCCTGATGTCCATCTTAAGACCAGCTTTAAACTGCAGATCTCATGGCTGAAGCATGGCCTGAAGTTTGGACTTCTGGCATCTTTCATCTGACATCTCACCTGCACAATTTAATGCGGTTGAGAACATTAGTGATTCAGATACAGCAAGCTGCCAAGAAGTGGCATTTGGCCAATGAAATCAAAGAGATCTGGCAACTCATTCAAGATAAAGCAATTTACATTCCTTCACCTCGTTTTTATTGGTCAGCTTACTGATTCATTGCAAAGGGCTTCGGTCACCCGATTCAAAGTGACAGTCCCAGTATTTGGTGACACAGAACCCATGAAATTCAGAGGAAGGAGATACCATAAAATGAGAGGTGCTAAAACTGTGCATTTCTTACTGAGGCTTTCGACTGAGCTCTGAAAAATTACGGAAGAGTTGTTAAAGAACACAACCCGGCACCACGACTGGAGGTAGGAATTTTAGGGGCCTGCAAAGTATTTGTGAAGTGTTTTGTAACAAAAGGGGGTATATATGAAGTACTTCTTTTTTAATGGTTACAGCTCACGCAGCAACTTCCCAAGGGGGTCCAAACTGTTTCCGCATATGGTTGCAAGCAGGAGTGTCTGCAGGGTATGGTCAAAAAAGTCAAGATGGTGGCCACAACACTGACCAAGGCATATAAAACACAGGCAGAGCTTTGATTGCATCATTGTGGCCACCATTTTGACTTTCTTTGATCATATCCTGTGGACAAGCCTAGTTGTAGTCGCACAAACAGCCAAGAATGTTTCCAAAATAGAGGCATGAGTTTTTCTTTGCATTCCTCTTTCAAATGCTTCGCAAAGCATTAATAATTTCACCTCCACAATTCTACCTTCAGAATGAATGAAGACGTACAAATATTTTACTATTGGGCAGAAACAATGGCGTTCGCCCAGGTTATCAGCACTTTTTATCAAACCTTGGACATGAACTTTTAACTGGGTTATGAAAAATATACATAGGAAACTTTTGCTGAAGTATTTCAACTATATGGACAGTTCAGGTCCTTCTTATCTTTGGATTAGAGCAGTGTTTTTCAAACTTGGCAGCTTTAAGATGTGTAGACTTCAACTCCAGAGTTCCCCAGCCAGCATTCTGGGTGTTGAAGTCCACACATCTTAAAAGTTGCCAAGGTTGAGAAACACTGCTCTATGGTGTGCAAGAAAACCAATTAAATCATCCTCCAGAGATGGCTGTCCAGTGTCCGCTTAAAAACTTTGGAGATGGAGAAGCCACAGCCTCCACAGGGAGACTGTCCCACTGTAGTACTTCATGGGCAGGAAATTACCTCTCATATTTATCCAAAATCTAGGTAGCAGCAATTTGAACCTGTTATTTCTGATCCTGGTTTCTGTGGCTATGGACAAGAGGTCCTGACCATCTTCCTGTAGCTTCCTTTCATGTACCTGAATGTGGCTATCGTGTCTCTCCTCTGTCTTCTTTTCTCCAGAGTCAACATCTCCAGGTCCTTCAGCCTGTCCTCCTAGGGCAAGTCCTCAAGTCCCTGGATCACCATAATTGCCCACTGTGGACCTGTCTACCCTATCAACCTCTTGGAAAGGTGGGGCCCAGAATCATGCCTAACCCTCCCAGTGTGTTCCCAAAAGGGCAGAATCAAGTTCTGGAGAGCTCATTTTCTCATACTTTCCTTTGTGCTATCGAGTTCATTCTAACAAAGGTGTTAGATTCCTAGAATCTTAGAGGTGGAAAGTGTCCCTTGAGGACATCAAGTCTAACCTTCTGCTCAGGACAGAAATCTAAATGAAACAACTGAAATTATGGATTTTGGGTTTGTCTCCTCCTTATGGACATTCTATTTCTGTAGAATGAGTGTGTATAAAATGCTCTCCATTTAGCAGAGACATTCCTAAGAAAACAGATATATATTGGACTTAAATTCTTGTAATTCTTAGGCACAATGGCCGAAGAAATATGAGTTGTAAACTTGGGAATATAGGCATTCTAGAGTGTTGCTCCCTTGTGGGGCACACACAGCACCCAACCCATCCTCTCTCTGCAAAAATGCATTGCATGTAAACATTCATTTTTAAGAAACCCTTTTTGTCTTCTGATCTTCCAGAGAACTGCCCCAATTCTTTTCCCCCTTACAAAAATGATCAATCAAAACCTGAAGAAGAAACAAGTAAATTGGTTGGGCGTCTAATTCAATCATATTCTGTTGGGGTTCTTGCTTTTTGATACCGATCTGCTGATGTTGCATTTGCTGTTTCTGAGTCCTATCCTTTCATGGTTCCTTCCACAGAGGAAAATCAGATCTCAGAAAGAGAGGACAGGTCTCTCAAGCAAGGATGGCTCTTTGGAGGTGGGACTGCAAATGGCCACACGGCAAACCACTGGGGGTGGGAGAAGTTGGAGTCTAAGTGCATCCGGAGGGTGATGGATTTTCCTTTCCCAATTGAAAGCAACTTGGGATTATCACCATCCTGGAGCATTGGCTCCTATGTAGTAAAATGATGCACTCACTCCATCACTTTTTTATAATAGTTCATACACAGTTTGGTTTTTTCCCCCTTTTCTGCATTATTTCTCCCTTTCCTCTCCCTTTAGAGTTCAGTAGGAAGGTTTGGAGGCAGCGATCTGTATGGATGGCACCACAACCCTCTTTTTGCTAACAGCATCTATTGCTCGCATCAGCTGCTTCTAGCACCCAGCTGCCTCTAAGAAGGGAAGTGACCTTTTTCCAAACCTTTTGCCACCCACTCCGATTGCTTTCCTGGAACTAGGCATCAGAGAGAGAACTTTAAACAGTGCTAAGCAAAGAATTAGCACCGAAACTGAGCACAGAATGACCAAGGAAAACAGGAACACCTGCCCCAACCCAACCCTCATTTAGCAGCAGATGCCAAATATCCTGGTTGCTCCAATATTGTGTGACCCACTCTTGCAAGGCAACATGTGCAATTTGTTTTGCCTGTGCAACCAGGTTCAGAGGCCACCCATTTCTCACTGACTGGGATGTGAAAAAAAGCATTGTAACACAGCCCAGGGAAACCTAGTAGCAAATGAAACAACTTTGCAATCATGCGTTCTCTCTAATTAAATATATCTGCCCATGTAGAAATCCAGTTCCATATCCCACACTTTGCCCAAGTTGCTAAGAAGATGCTAACGGTAGGAGAAGCTTAGCAAAAATCTGCTCACCCTCAGATGGTTTCTTAAGTCCTCCTCCTTTGTCCTGAAATCTGACCGATGCTCAAGCGCTATGCCCTGGATACTTATATTCCTCCACGTGTGCCGTGCAAGCAGTCGGTCACCCAATTGACGGGGCTGCAGGGTGACGTTTGCTGCATCGTCCATCAGTGAAAGGCTATGAGTGTTCAGGATGCTGTTGTGAGGCTACGCAATGCTAGTATTCTTGCAGCGGTCTGTCTTTTGACCCCTTGATCTTGGGAACACTTAATAAAAAGTTCTCATGACATTTTTAGCACCAGTGTGTCTCAGCAGGCAGCTGATCTAGGCTAAGCTTGCAAGCTAAACAGGATTGGCTTTGGTGAATATTTGGATGGGAGACCCCTAGGAAATTCTAGAGTTGTAGGCTAGACTAGAAAGAGCCTCCAGAAGAAAATAATGGCAAGCCATTTCCATTTTTCATCAAGGGAAGTGACCAGGAGTTGAGCTTGAGTCAAAAGGATATTTTAGTATCAACAGATAACATGAAGACTACAGAGATACAACCGGGTGTGATATATTGGCAGAAGGCTGTCCTCACTCTTAATCATCTCCATCCAAAGCTACCCCATAGCTTTTTTGACTTTTCCTCTTAGGAGTTAATCCCTAGAGAGCATCACATGAGAAACTAATTCCATTGTGAAGGATTCTGGAAGAAGGAGCTGAGCCAGTTTGCTAAAATACCACAGGTTGTGCTTGTAGGGGCCAAGAGCAAGAGTGGAAAACACAGGGCAACTGACCCAAAATGAGCATTGAAGATCATGGTCCCCATCCAGTTTTCTTCCATCTGGGTCTCTTCAGGTGTATGGAACTATCAACCTCTCCTGATGCCCAGCTGATGAGGCCTACCCATCTCCAATAACCTGGAAGGATGGCTTGGGCATCTTTATTGGCAGCACTGGACTGGGTGAATCATTTCCACAGTTGTGGCATTTCAAGGACAAAGGTCTGGATGGATGGATGATAGATAGATAGATAGATGACTAAAAACAGCTAAACGTCTCATCAAATCTTGAATTCTTGCCTAAAACGTGCAACATTTCCTCTGAGAACACCGAGATTAGGTGATCTTGTGAGACTCCAGCTGTTTTTAAAGCAAATATATATATATAAAAAAACATGGGCAGGATGAGTGGACATGCCAGGTAAGGCTGTTTTAGTTCAAGCTCTAGAGTCACCTGGGAAAGCTAAAATATGATGAAACAGGACAGGGCAACTGATTCTCTTTAGATGTTGGGACTCTAGCTCCCATCATCCAACCAACAGTCCACATCAAAGTTGGTAACAATTGGACTCAGCAACATCTGGATTGTCTGAAGTTCCCCAACCTTGTGCTAGAAGACCCTGGAAGAGAAGGAACTTTGTGAACTGAAATACCACATCAGCCTCTCAGCTGTTTACTCCATTCATAAGATGCAGCAAAAGCTCAGAGAAATGGAAACAGTGCCATTCATTAACAGCTGGAAGGTGCTGGCTGAGATCTCCCTGGAAGCAAAAGTGATCAGGGATATTTCTGAATGCAAAGCAGCTGCTTAGGATAACAGCGGCAGATTAGAGCGAACAGCATTTCCTGATGTTTTAATTATGATCAAAGGGGAGGAAAAAAAAGTTTCCAAAACAGGAAATGAGCTCATCTTCCCCCTCTTTGGAAAACTTGCAAGTAAGGCCACCGCTAATTTTACCCCTGCCCATCTCTTCTGGAAATGTGTATTAAAAAAAGCAAACAAAGCCACCCAAACAAATGATATCAGGGGTCTGGTGCCAAGAAGCACGTCATTTCTCCTGTGTCACTGCCACTGTCTCATCAGCCAGGCACTTGATTAGATGCTAAGCAAACAGGAGCTAGGCAAACATTGACCATTTCAGCTCGCAAAGGTAACCATCGCTGAGAGTCATAATTCAGGAGAAGTGTTGTGTTGCGTTAAATCTGTCGCCGAGGCTTTTGCCTTACAACAGATACAACTTATTCCTGCACCCCAACCAAATTCACGATAAACCACCATCTGAGGAGCCACAGGCCAGTCCTATCAGAGCAGCATTCCAATCTAACACTAAGCCAGGATTCTTTGTAGTGATCGTTTGTTGAACAAACTGAAGTCAGGCTCGCAAACAAGCCACTTGGCGCCCTTAGCCTGTTCTTGCCACCACCGAGAATGAATGTGTTAAATACCAAGACATAGGACTGTGTGTTCAGACATAAGAGCGAGCAATAATTAAAGCAAGCCGGGATTAGAAATCAGTAACAGTGGCTTCAAATTCTGGTTGTGCCAAAAAATAAAAAACATTTCTTCTTTTGGCTGGGTTGCACATCATGTTAAATCTGAAAAACAAACCATCTTACTGACTAACATGATGTGTAAAACCTGCCAATCCATGTGGGGGTGTGCTGGCCAGTTGAAGCTTTTCTTCTGTCTTTTAACCTTTTTCCAGTTATACCATCTACACTCCAATCTGTTACAATCTCCAGCATTCTCACAGCATTTATGATTTCCTTTTCATCATTCTTTGTTCACGAATGCTAATACTTATCACTAGAAATAATAACTCTGATATCTGTGTATATTAGAATTTTTCAGTTCAATAAAAATGAAGAAAAAAGGTAGTAAGAAGAAAAGAAGAGAGAAAGGAATAATAAAAAAGAAAACGTAGAATTATGCCTTCTGCCCTTCTATTGAATAATTATCATCTTAACCTTTCCCCCATCCTCTTTATTACATTCATTTCAGTTCCATTCTTAACATACCACTATAAGTCCCCTGCAAAACTCTTAAAGTATTCCCACTGTCTTTTGTACTCGCCGCCCTTGTACCCTTCCCTAATTCTTTCAATCCTTCATCATAATCAAATCAATCTGTTTTTCAATTCATTTCTTTTCAGCGCCTATGCACGAACGCCCTCGCACTCAGTTGCAATGGGAGCAGTGTTTTTCCTAACCTGATACCCTCCGTTCTGCGTTCTCATTCGTTCTTGGATCTCCAAATTGTTGAGTTACTTTTTCTGCTCATTTTTCTTGTTTCCACCCATCCATTCATGTCAGAGTAATCCCCCCCCCCAGACTATATTCATTCAGAATGTTGGAAGAATAATCAACCAATTCACAGGAGTGTGATTCAGGTATCCCTGTTCTATAGATTCCTACCTTGTTGCACATCCACCAATTCAAGGTGACACTGATCCATACTTTTTGATGTACCTTTCCCAATGAAACCAATAGCTTCCCTTCCCTGCAGATACTCATGATCAGCTCTGCTCCAAGAGATCCAACCATCATCATTGGTGGAGGAACCACTCCTCCCTCTTTCTCTTAGCTAGGATCTATAATCTAAAGACAAACATGTCCACATCCAATCTATTAGGAGGCACATGAATTACACCCACTCAGAAGCCAAATAACCAGCCAATCTTCTTTCACCCCCAACTTGCAAGAACAAGAATTCACAGAGACTTGGGGCATATTTTTCTTCTGAATGAGCACATTTATTGAATGTAGCTTACAGTTTGGCCAGAGTCCCGAAATTAAGGATTCAAAGTTTATTTGCAATATTAAAAGCAATTACTGATACACAGGTTCAAGAAGTTGGTCTGGTTTGGGAATCTTTTCCCCAAGGAAGACCTCTGTAAGCAGCCATGTTGCAAAAGAGGTTTTGAGTTGAAGGCCATGTTGCATGACCTGAACCAGCCGTTTGTTTCAAAGCAATGAATGACTTCGGCCAACCTGCAGAGTCCCGAATGTTTCGTTTTCCATCATTCTTTCTTAGGTACAAACTCAATGGGTTCTCTCTGTCTCACAGCTCTCAATCTGAATACCCCCAGTACCCCAATCGGTCTAAAGTGAGAAGTTATGAGGGCTTCCCTGCTTCTCCTCATGCCAGTAGTTCTCCTTGGCAAGACTATGCTTGTCAAGTTCATGGTGGCAAGATTAGACCATGTATTAGGTGAGGACAAAAACAATCCCAGAACATATTACAAAGAGGATCCCAGTGATGTAGCTTCCAGTTCTCTATATTTGAAGACAACTAAGCTCACATATAAAGCTGACTCAAATTTAGGACAGTTAGGATAGGCAAAGCACAGGGGCTCTGCATCCTCATCTTGAAAAAATACCTCCCAACACAAACACAACTTTAGTCTGAGTTTAACATGGTTGGAGTAGAAGTATCTACTAGGACACCAAACCTTGTGTGGGTGGTTAATCCACTGGCTTTGAAGAGAACTTGCAAGGGTTTGGTCATAGATTCCTTCCTCTTCTTCACTCTCACGAATTGTGCCCTCGCTCTGAGGCTAGTAGACACCAACTGGGTTTAATAGGCCCCAAAAGCCAACATAAAACTTACCTCGGACCTCATCTGTGTGTCTTCAAAGATATCAACACGTGCTTGTTAAGATGGATGGTTTGGCCATGTCTCTGTCCAGGAAGCAGTGCAAAAGCTCCTTTACCAACTGACTGGCAATAACCAAACTACTCCTAGGTGGAAACCACACACTGGTAATGGATCATCTCAAGGGCTTCCAAATTAATATCCATCTATTAATTAAATGCACTGATTGGAAGATGGACATGACAAGGTGGCACTAAGAGCATCCAAGTGTTATCTACAGTTTCTTCCCTCCCCCCACACGCATGTTTGACTCCTCCATCTAACATGATCTCAGCTGTATTGTGGTAGAAGAAAGAACCAGGCCAGTTAAAAAATAAAAAGAAAAGCATTTACTTGGTCAACAAAAATAAATACAAGTTATTAAGACATTTGGAATGAGGCAGAACGGAATTACAATTACAGAGATAAACAGAAGGGAGACGTAGTTTGCTTGGTCTGCCTTGGCGTATTCGTGGGGCGGATCTGCAGGGGACAAGAGACTCAGTTTTGGCACAAAGCTTGACCCCTCTGGTTAAGGCAGCTATGATGCCCCCTCTAACTGCAAGCCAAATCAGAGTACAAAAGTGAGAGAGACAACAGTTGCTATTTATGAGCATACTGACACCACAATCTGTTTATAAATGTAGCTTTATTATGGAGAGATGCTTATATAGGGTATCAAGGATTCCAACAACAATTTGCTCTGGGTTTCAGCAAGAGTGTAAGGCTCTGCAAGTTGAGATGTACCAGCACAGAGGGGGGACTCCCTGAACCAAGATTTCTTCATCCATGTCCCATACCTTTCTTGGAGTATGATGGACCATGAGAATTGGTTTTATACTAAGCCAGTTCTGTGGTCCATTAAGATCAGCCCTGGTTCTCTGGGCTGGCATTAACTTCCCAGATGGTTCATACAAGGTGCTTTTGCTAGCAAATAGCAAGGAGAGACTCTAGGATGTCCCAGACATCATCTCATGCAGGGATTCTTCCGTATCTCAGATGCAAAGCAACCTTCCCCAGCTGGAGTCTTCCCAATGCATTGGACTTCACGCCGGCTAGCAAATCTGACAGTTGAGATGCACCACAACTGGAAGGCACAAGGCCAAGGAAGGCTGATGAGTAGAAGGGTTTCCCCATCAGCCATCGTAGCACCTAAGGACTGATGCTTCTCTGCTTGAAAGGCACCCTGCCTGCATCATGAATGCTCTGCTGGAAGAACCACATGGAAGAAAGATCTGTATCCCATAGGGGTGACTCGTAGCCATGTATAGCCCTTGCGGGGGGTGGGGGGCGGGGAGTCTGAGCGCTAGCTGTCTCTCACCATCCTTCCCTTGGCTGATCTGACCCTCATATTTCCTGCCATAAAAAGACTGGGGATGGGGAAAGGGGGAAGCAGAAGCAAAAATCTTCCATCTTGATGCTGATCAAGGCTGCTGGCATTTTCCCCAGGCATAAGCTAGCTGGACTGGAGAAATACAAATCGCCACCCGAGGGCTGTCCAGAGATTCAAGCCAACTCATTCTTGGCGCCTCTGCTGGCCTCTTGTTGCAGCACAGATGTGGCACGCCTATTTTGACTGTCCACCTTGCCGAATGCAAACGGCATGCCGTGCACGGAGGCCTCTTAAAAAGTATTGAGATGCAGCTGTTGCCAGGGGAGAGCAAAATTCAGACAATAAAAAAAGCCTTTGGATGCATTTTTGTTTTGAAGGGGGGTGCAATGAAGGGAGAGAACCAGAGGAAATATGGGGAAGCTGGTACAAACCCAACCCTCTTTTCATCATCTACGTGCTGTGCTTGAAAGTGAAGGATGAAACGGCAGATGGAGGAATGCAGAAACAGGGACTGCTCAATTCTGAATGGATGCTTGTACATGAAGACAAGGAATGGAATGCATGAAAAAGAAAATGAAGGAAGAATGAATGAATGAATGAATGAATGAATGAATGGGGAGAAACAGGCTCTTTTGGCAGGCACTTCACTGCTGCTCTTGGACAAATCCTAGTAGGAGCTGTAATTGATGTATGCTTCTAACAGAGGGGAAAAGGAAAAAGAAGGAAAAGGAAAAGCATCTAACTCTAGGTTGGGGTGAGTGGGAAGAATCACAACCAACATGTACTAGGGAATGTACTTCCTGCACCACCACTCACATGAAGGAACAAATCACATTATAGTCCACAAATGAAGATACCTAGGTCTCCACGTAAGGCTGAGGCCAATGCTTCCTACTTTGTTATCATGCAGTGCTGTGATCCTGGCGTTTTGCTCTCTGGTCCAGTCACATCTCTCAGTAGATGACAGACATAACTCATCCTCTGTGCATAGTTCATGAGTAGACCCAAGGCTGACTGCATATTTCTTCAGCCTCAGAAGATCCTTGCCAGCCATTTAGGTCCACAGTAGAAGCAACCCTAATGTAGGCCAATGAGAAAGACAAGGGATCACCTCCCTCTCTTTATACCCAGAGACCCCGAGGCAAGGACTTTCTTAGCACATCTCTATCCCCTAAAAGAGAGAAAGCATTTCTCATCCATGGAGAAGAGGAGGAAATTCCACACTTGACCTGGAAAGTGGGGGCTGACATATGTGGCTCTGCCAGTGTTCAAAGGAGGGTATTTATTTCGGATAAAGGAGTGCCGAAGGGCATTTTCAAACCATCTGATCACATTTTTGGATTTTTTTTGTGTGTGTGTGGGGATTTTTGGTGATAAGATACATTTTGAGGGCTTCCCTTCATCTCACCTCTCTTGGCAAATTTCAGTGTTACGCTACAGTATTTGGTTAGCTGTTTTATGTATGTATTTGTATGTATGCAATTTTTAAATGAAGCTTTTTTTTGTTATTTTCGGTGAACTTTTAAAAAAAACGAGTGTACCCTTGTAAACACAGAAAGCTGTTCTCCTAAAGAAACAAATTGGGAGTATTAAGATGACAGGGGTTGGAAAGGAAAGTCTGTTTCACAAAGAGACCCCTGGGTTCTCCTTCCATGTCCCTTCTTCATTTTTCCAAAAATGGGAACACGTTCTGATCCAACAGGACCCTGTACATTTTTCATTTTACCTTAGCGAAAAAAATCCAGGTTTACAGCATGACTCACTTGTGCAAAGTAGCGAGAGGGAGGATGTGAGCCCAAATATTGGGGGGGGGGGTAAAACCCAACTCTTTCCATGATGTTTAGGGAGTCATAATTTTGGGTGTGTTTCTGCTCTGCTTTATCAGCCCGCGTTGCAAAGGCAGGGAATGGCTGAGAAGATGGCGGTCAACCACCGGCACATCTGCCTAAAACCACAGGAAGGGTGGAGATGGCAGGGGTGCATTACGCATCACACACAGTTCCACTTCCAAGTTGCCAAAAAGTGAAACGAGCCCCACAAACCGAAGCTGCAATATAGGCAATTCCATTATAGGCAGTGATGCCAGTGAAAAATGCAAGAAGATACAAAGGGGAAACAGGTCAGACTGAAGCATGTCAGCATCCAGGGGTGCGGCTGGAGAACTTGCTAGTCAGGAGAAAGAAAGACTGTTACGAAGTCCAGGTCTGCCATACCCCAAATATTCAGAAGCACCTTTGCAGATGATCAACCAATGGAGCACCTTCTCCATTCCAGGTGGGATCCCCCATTTTCCAAAGACAGCTGTTTAGAACATCAGTCGGGAGCATCCAGTTTGAATTCAAGGTGCAGGGAAGGTCCCGTAAGCGGAGGGGAACCGCCTATCCTCAAGAGCTTTGAGAAGAAATGCAAAAGGGACAACCTTCTTCCTCTTCCACAGAAATCTCTGCTAAATATTCTTTCAAAAAGCCCTTGAAAAGAATGAAATTGCCTTCCAAGGGAATGGGGACAGAAGGAAAAGCTTTTAAAAAAATGGTATTTCTGTGCCACCCTTTTTCCTCTGAAAAGAAACAGCTGATAGGAAGAATCTCATTTGGTTTTTAAAAAGCTTTACTCCCTCAAGGGAAAAAAAAAAAGATTTACAAAACAAAAACAGCCTGCATCAACTCTCCAGGAGAGAGTTTTCACAATATTAATCCAAATATCACACTATTTAATTCCCCAATAAAACATTGGAAAAAAAGTGCCTACAATCTCTTTCTAACACTTTTGCTACATATAAAATCTCAAGCTAATAGCAATCTTATGGTACCAACCCTCTAGAACAGTTAAGATATATACACATTTGGGGACAGGGATATTAACAAACAGAATATTACAAAGTATTAAAGAAGGCAACTCTTTTCTTCTGTCACGTTCAGGTTCACTTGAAGTTGGCATAATCTGAAAAGGCGTCAATATATTCCTGAACCACCTTGTAGCAGAATTCGTACTGTTCCTAGGGATCAGGCAGAAAAGAAAAGGCTGTGAGTAACAGAGCAAGCCACTGTTCCCCAAACATCTTTGATCAACCCTGGCAATTCCCAGAATTCTTAACAAAGGCCATGCTGGCTAGGGAATTCTGGGAGTTGAAGTTCATGCATGGAGCCAGTGCCTTACAGCATCCTGCCAGGGACAGCCATCAAAACTATTTATGCAATTATTTATGGAAACATTTATATCTCACCATTTTAGCCCTCCTGCTGGACATCCTGAAACACCCACAGCTGTTTTATACCGAGTCAGTTCCCTTACCTCGGACTGTGGCACTAACTGGCAGCAGCTCTTTTGATCTGGGGCAGGATTTCTTTCCTGCCTTAGTTGCAGTCCCCAAGGACTGTAGCTGGGATTTTTCAAGTGTGTTAAATGCCCAACCCGAGGCATGATCTAAGACAGGTCTGGAAGTTTGGGGACTGGGAGTTGGCACTGAGACTGTATCACACCATATGCCCAGGGTAGCGTAGCTCGGGAGTGCATGCCCAAGTATCTCTAAGAGCTTGAGATGTTCTGCAGAGGTCTTGTTTCAGGTCCCACACCAATGGAAGCAAAATGGGTGAAATCAGGAAGGTGGTACGAGTGGGGGAGAGCTCCAGAGTTCAGATCCTACTCATGGCCTTCAAAGAACATACCTGGCTGGCCACTGTAGGAAATAAACCAGGTAGATCTTGGGTATATTCTGTGATCTTGATCGATGTGTATCGATTATATGAAGTCTATCCATGAAAAGCTGCTTTCGGTCTTCCAAATTAATTCTGTATTTTAGTGTTGTGAATCACTGCAAATGTTGTTAGTCATCTGCTTTTCTCTTTACTAAAAGCATTCATGCTGGAAATCATTATTAAATTGTATTTTATAAGCCAACCAGGGAACAACATTATTAGCTTGCATAAATATGGAAAACTGAAAAAGGTATGGGCTCTGTCACTGGATTACATCTGACAAAACTGATAAGCTTCTCAGGAATACAAGGGCCCCTAGCAGCCTTTTGGAAGTCAACCAGCATCTGGATGGTGAGTGGGCCAGATCCTGCCCTTGGTGTATGAAAGGCTGATGATTTGGGTCATCTCATGGCTCCTTGGATCTCCACAACCAGAAACAGCTGCTGAACATAAGCATGTAGCTGAGAAAAGTTATTTGGGGTAGGCAAGGAGGTGGCCAGAAAGGGGTTCATCTTGAAATGGACTGAGGTGGCAAGGTGGGGACAAATATTCTTATTCTAAGATCACAGATGAGGGCCTGCTGCTACCCATATTAGAACAGAACTAGGCAAATTAGTGATGTAACTCACACAAAGCATTTTCCCATATTTGTGTTTCAGTCATCCATTTCTTCAAAGAGGCATATCTCAAAGAAAGAAATGCATGAAGAAGAAATACCAGCTCATGGAGGACCAGTTAGCAGATGCAGATGAGAACTCTTTGCTCCATTATGAAGCTTCACCATCATTTCCCTATAGAAGTTGATGCTTACCAGTGTTTGCACCATGTGTGGCCTCTGTAACCTCAAACTCTTCACTGTCTGAAAGACATCCAGAATTCCTTCAGCCTTGACCCTTTCCAGGACAGTGCCCAACGCGCAAAAAGTCCCTGTTCGTCCAGCTCCAGCACTATGAAAAAGACAATGAGATGAATGGTGCACTTGTGTTTCTAGAGACCCAACTTACAGATAACAAGAGCTAGGAAGTTCCACTCAGTAGCAGTGGGAGGAACATGAAGGTTTCCCGAGCTTCAAAGGGATGCTAGAGAAAATTAGGTTCTGCTGAAGGACAAAGGGTTGGGTCAAACGGTATTCTGAAGTCACCATCTACCGCCAGGACTGCACAGGCATGGAGATCTTGAAGAAATCTTGCTCCCACCACACGGGGCAGGGCTAGAGGAAAAGCAGCTTTCTCTAAGTTCCAGAGAGGTTTTTTTTCCAGTGTTCATACTGATGTTTTGTGGGAAGGCCTCTCTATCCTCCGATCCTTTAACATTTTTCATGCTTTCACTACTGCTGGCTTTTGCTTATCTTACTTTACAGCTGTGTTTTTATGCTTTTAAATGGTTATTGTTAATGAAAGGGTATCAACGATTTGGCTTCAGGATTCAAGTTATAAAATAGATGGAATCAATCAATAAGCAAAGTAGAGTTTTTATTTAACTAGAATCTTGGGGGGTGCGTGCATTGCTTGAGTATGTCTAAGCACAACCTCTCTTGCCTCGGTGGCTATCTTCTAGATCTGGAAACGGACATGTGGGTCACCCACATTCTGGCACTCCCCAGGCATGGTGGGGGATGTAATTGGAAGGAAAGGTTTCTTGGATCAACTGAATCAGTCTATGCTCGAAAACCTCGGGGCTGTGAGCCAATCACTGAGAACGGGGTGCACTCATAACCCATCTGGTTACCTGCAATGCACAGTGATGGGGTGATTCCCAGACTGCTGTTGCTGCTTCTGTACTGCTGCAATGATATTGATCATGCCTTTCCCATCCGTGGGGATTCCAACCTCTGGCCAACCATGGAAGTGGAACTGTCGGATTTGCCGGCTTTTGTTTTCCTGCCCGGGAAAAGTGAAGAAACGTTGAAGAAAGCTTGATCCTCAATCCAGGGCAGGGTGTGCGTGGGGGTGTGAGGAAGGCACGGTGAGGCTCGGGGGGTGGGTTGTGGGTGGGGGAGTCTTACCCCTGCAGCTTGCAACCTTCCCTGCTGGCTTTCCCACTGGCTTTCTGGGGAGGTCAGCAGGGAAGGTCACAAATGGCGATCACGTGATCATGGGGCACTGCAACTGGTCGCAAGTGTGAGCCATTTGCCAAGAGTCCAGATTGCAATCATGTGACCACAGGGTGCTGGGACAATTGGAACTCTGAGGATCGGTTATAACCACTGTTCATTCAGCGCTGTCGTAACTTCGAACAGTTGCTGAATGAATGGTCGTAAGTCAAGGACTACCCATACAGCAGAGGTATTCAAGTTGTGGCAAGTGATCCCCTAGGGCTTGAATACGCAGGAAAGATGCTGCCAAACTTATTCCATTTTGCCTGGACAGGTGCTTGTCTGGGCAGGGCAGGAGTGTGGTCTGGCAGAGGTCTGACTTGGTCTTGCAGGCATCCAAATCCAAGCTACATTTGATGTGTGCACCTGTTCCTAGACTTGTTGGGACAGAACTGGGGGGATGGCCCAGCATATGATCCTGCAGGGATTCAGCTTTGGCACCCACAGTGGGTGTACCCAGGCTGGATCACTCCCTGATGGAGCAGGACCCACAGCATGTTCTTGCAGTTCAGCCCTATATGCTGTGGAGCATATCCTATTGCTGGATTGCTGTCAAAGCAGTATAGAGGGGAAGGCCCCTGTCAAGCCCCTTCATGCCTTCTCTCCCTCCTTGTCTAGAAGCAGTTCACCCCGTGTTTACAGCTGTGGCTGGACTGCTATCATGGTTCTCTCCTATTCTGTCTGGGGTTGTGTAGAAAACCATGGAAATGGCCTTGGAAAAGGAATGTGGCAATTAGCAAAACATGGATTCAGCCCAGGGAAAGGAAGAAGGCATTAGAAAGAAACTTACAGTAGTTCAACCTTGACCTTCTTGGGTATAAGGAGGAGGGAAAGAGAAACACTGCCAGGCTTTCAAGATTCTGTTATTATAGCCTGTATCAGCTCTACATCCTCTTCCAGAGGCCAGAACTCTGTAATCAGTGGTGGGTCCCTGTAGATTTAGGTGGGGTTTCCCAACACATACCCTGTTATTGGTCACCAGCAGGTCCCGCACCGTGTAGCTCTCACACTCCTCTTCCTTCTTCAGCTCCACAGTGATATCTCCATAAGACACAGAGCCATCTGAAGGCCAGTACTGAGCGCACTTCTCCTAGTGAGTCAGGAAACAGTAAAGACAGGATCATGGGAATGCTAATCTAGAAGAGGAATTTGTCCTCTTTCGTTCTGTCCTTGAAGGCTATGTACGGTGAGGGTGCACTGAGCCCTAACAGTGGCTCCTTGGGCTTTCACAGAGGGGTTCCTTGGAATCAGGAGTGTTCTCCAGCTGGTTTGGTTTGTGGGAACTGGTTGTGAAAGTGACCCCCTGAAAGGAGGCTGGTTTTCTCTCCAGCCAGAGGGGGCCCTGCCTGGTTCCCCTGATGAGACAACTTATTTTGCTTGTGGAGGACTCCTTGCCAAGCTTGCGCCTCTGGGGCTACTAGGACTTCCATGGAGCAGCCTGGCTCCAGGACCTTCAGGAGGCACCTACACTGGCTGCAGGTGAGAGCAGGAGCAGAGGGGAGTGGCAGTGGTGGTCCCACTTTACTTGGGAGTTCAAAAGGTGCAGTTGTGGAAGTTTTCTGCATGTTGGGCCTCCTCCCCACGAACATCTGAACTGGTGGTTGCTTAATTTCGCTAAGACTCTTTTGGGGGGTTCTATTGAGAAAAGCTTCTGGACATGAACTCAAGAGGTTTTGCATTTCAAGCTGGAACTCTGCTCCTCAACATTACATTTTCTCCAGTGACCACTATTCAGGCGGGCAGGGGGAAACCCTGCAATGGCCCCTCCCTGGTAACCAAACCATACAGAATGACTGGCCTGTTATTTATCCTGCTCCCTGCCACATCCTGTGGTGGCCATTTTCCTTTGTGCAGGTGAAGGCTTCTCCCCACTTTTTTCTGCATGGAGGACGATACCTCATTCTCTACCCGGTGAAAGAAAGGGGACAATCTCTCCCCACTCTTCCTGCATCAGGAAGGAAGAGTGTTCCTTCTCTGTTATGGCCCCTGCCTCCGGAGATTTGGATGGTCCCAACCCTGTTGGCCTTCCAGAAGGTTGGGCACACCTAGCTTTTTTCCTATGCACTGGGGCTGGGATGTCAATGGAGTCTGGTGTGTGTGCATGGAATATGCTGATAAGGTGTTTTTTGTTTGTAAACCACAGCCTCAACTTGATTTTTTGATTCCTACATTATGTTTTTATTTTTTGTTCATGGCCCAGATGGGAGATGGGTGGCTGTATACTTTTGCTAAATAAATAAACAAAGGCAGGTTCCACCCAGGACATGATGTGAAACCATCCTTTATTGTCTCTTCTTGCACTTTCTTGCAAAAGGAAGGGGGAAATGTTGACTCCTTTCCTCCTTCTGCACAGACACACTCAAGGGGGTGGGGCTCCAGATGGGGGAGGAGCTTCTGGGAAGCCAGGGGTTCTCCTCCCCAAAGTCCCACCTCCTAGTATCAGCTGGTCCAGCAGGAGCTAGAGTGGGGGAATCTGGCCCTTCAGATGGATTGCCCATTCCAAATTAAAAAATGCTGGTGTACTTGTAGTCAGACCTGGGCATATAATGCAATGCTGACTGTTCTGCCAAGTTATTCATCCTGTTATTACTCTTCTGAGGAGCTCACAGGACCTTCCATATTGTTTGCATCCAGACAGCTCCCACAGCCAGCACCCTTAAGCTTAGCCCAATTCACTTGTGCAGCTCATTCCCACAAGACATGATGATGGCCACTATCTAGGATGGCTTTAAAAGGGGACTGGATTAAATTACTGGAGGTCTGTTGGGCCTTGAGAAGTCAATGTGACCTCCGGATTGTTGGGCAGCACACCTCCTGGTGCTCAATTGCAGGAAAACAGTGGCAAAAGAGGGGTATATCTCCACCTCTCCTTTGTGAGAATCCCAGAGGTATCTGGTTGGCCATTACAAGAAAGAAGATGTTGGACTTTGCTTGATCCAGGATGACTCTTAGTGCCACTTCAGTAAGACCTCAATACCATTTGCTCATCTGGCTGTTCTCCATGGAAGCTCACCTGGCCCCTCTCTTCCAGCTCGGTCAACATCACAATGGAGCATGACTTCCACTCCCAGATCATCCGCCAGAAATCCTCAATGGTGTGCTGGAGGGGCCCTTGGCTGGCAATGTAGGAATCCTTTTGACGGTAACCCTGGAATGTCAAGATGGGGTCAGAAAGAAGTGGGATGCAGATGTGAACACTGGAATGGCTTGATTTAACGAACACCCCCCCACAATCTTCTCATGGAGAAGGTCTGGGTGGTTTGGAGCAGGATGATCTTAAAAAATTGCTTCCATTTAAAGAGGGCACAAAGGCAGGACAGTTCATGCAGAATGAAGTTAGCAAGGACACTAAACCGAATTCTCTAGAAGTCCTCAAAGTCCTTTTGACTAAACTGGGAACCAGACGGCCAAAAACTGATGCTGGACTTACAAATATGTAATACATATTTGGCTATACATGGGAAAAACACATGAGTTGGAGGGAAATGAGGTCCCTTAAGAAGCAATAAAATCTAAATATATAATTTGGTGCTATAATCTGCTTCCAGCTTAGCATGTGTGATTCCCCCTATCATCCCTTAGTCTGACCATGGTTAAAGGGTATGAATGGGGTCCTTAATCAGGAGCAAAGTGGACATCTCCAGCATCTACCTTCTGGAAAATCTGAAAACTGAACTTTTCCAGATGATGCCAGATGTTATATTGTTGAGGGGTGGGGGTGGGGTAGTGTATCTTCTTATATATATATTTTATTATTCTTAGCTTTGTTGTTACTGCAAATGGATGAGAGCATGTTTATACCTGTTGTAAGATCTAAATCTAAATCAATCAATCAATCAATCAATCAATCAATCATGTCATCCCCATAGTGGGGGTGAAATAATTCAGCCTCTAGGTTGGGCAGGCTGAAATTGACTAGGAAGCCACTGGGAAGGAAAGAATCGGGAGCAAGTCAAGTTCTGCTGAAGATCAAGCCATCAGCTGGTGGAACAGGCTGCCACATGATGCGGTGAGTTCTCTTTGCTGGAGGCCTTCAAATGGAGCATGGGTGGCAGGGAGCCCATACAACAGCTCTCACTGTATTTCTGGCACCAGGTCACCATTTTCACAAAGCCCACTGAAGTGAATGAGCCACAACATGAGTGGATCATCCCATTTATCAGCCTGCCAGAAGAGCTCATGTCTTCCCCAAAATTATGCCTTTATTTCTTTCTTATTTGTTACTCTGGGCCTTTTTATTGCTAAAAGACCAATCCTGCAATGCGGGAAAGGGAAGTTTATGGGATTAAAGCTCTGATGTCACTTCTGACTTCTGACTGAGTTGTCTACAGACACAGATGGATGGATGAGTGATCACAATGAAATACTGAAACTCGTGTCTAAAACTCCATCCATTCATCTATGAGAAGCCTAACCACACACATACATTATTGTATTGTGGGTTCCCCCTTCTTGCTATTGTTTTATTTTTTTCTTATTTTATTCTTATTATTTTTTATTTTTCTCTTTGTTCTCTTTTATTAAATAGACCCTCCCGAAAACCCTAATTGGCCACATGTACATACACATTTAAGCCCAGCTTTTGAAACAGTAACCAAAAAGATCTTTCCAAAGGATGTGGCTGCTTTAATTCTTTCCAAAGGATATGGCTGCTTTAATATGCTTTGCCCACCATTCCTTCTGAATGCTTTGCCAACTCCATCATTTTATACATTCAGCAGAATTAAGTGATTTGGCCCCCCGGCTCAACTTCAGGCCTGCATGTTGGAATAAAGCAGTGTAAAAAATTCTCTCTGCTCACAGAGAAGGAGCATATTAGCATGTGTCTTCCTGAGATGCTGCTTTTCTAAATGCAGGGCGATCCTCACTCACCATCTTTAGGGACCTGGTTCAGGAAAATGTTAATTCTACTGAATGCTACCTCTTGCTAGGAGACACAAAACGGAGGATCCAGCTGGTTTGATTAACATTATACAGAGCTCTGTTGCTGGCCATGGATTCTCTGCTATCCTGCATGACTCTTAAAGGCGCCAGGCAAGTGGGAAAAACAGCGAGGCATCAGGAGAAGAAAATCTGGTTTCTATTTGGCAATAAATGGAAGCTACATGTAAAAAACAAACCTATTCAAGACTTTTATTCTATGGACTAATTTGCTCAGCTCATGTTAGAAGATTTATTAAGGTCAAAGAACAGAAAGGAACACTCACGTCAATAAAGGAAGCATTTACGTAATCTGTGTTTTCTTCACCCCTCTTCACTGGAATGATCACCCGGTTGAACTCATCTACAGGGAGAAAAGGGGGCAAGCATTTTAGAAATGGTTGGCAATATGCATTTAGGGGAAGATTCTGGATTGGCATGATATGGCTCAGAAGAGATGGGTTTCCATAGCAACACCCCAAAAAGGCGACGTCTGTCAGCAAGCACTCTCTGCATAAGCCGTTCCAAAACAGCAGTGATGTCCACTTTGCAAAATTGAAATGTAGAAATACTTTGAAAGCAAACGCTGGTAAAATGTAAATAACCCGGTTTGCTTCTCCGTAACAGCAAGCCACAATTCACTGATGAAACAAGTGAAGCTCTTCATTCCCCTCCCCCTTCCATCCCAGCTGTTGTGAAGCAGAAATACAAAGGTCAGGTCCTCCAATGGTTCCCCACACCCTAAAAAATGCATTGCAAGCTTTTCTCAGCTGGGCACGTAATTCCTTACATGGAATTATCTGCAGCACCCTGTTTTTCTTCATGTTGGCTGGCAAATTGCCCGTTCTCATTTTGTCATTTTGAATTTTGATGGAGGTAAGTTTCTGCAGAAAGAGAGAAACAGGACATGAGCTTCAACGACAGATCTGCATAGCCCAAAGAGGTCGCTGTACCATGTACTCAGCGTGGAACCAGACGTAAATGTATCGTAGCTACCCAAACTTTTCATCTACCAGAAAGGGATGGAAGGACGGTGGGCACAAATTCTTCCCATCTTCTTTCCCTTTCTAGGATTATAGAAACAGGAAACCCAAAATTACTCTTCCAAACTCTTTCTGTAGAGCAGGTCATCTTGCTGACTGACTGCTATGAAGAACGACTGTGCTACGGAAGTGTACTGACAAAGAAAAATTCTCAAGGTAACTGATTGAGAAGTGTGGGGTCCGAGTTTCAGATTTGCATGGCAGATGGCTGGGTGGGAAGGCCACAGATCTGATGGGCTATCCTTGACTGAGGCCAACAACCCCAGACCCATTAATATCATTCCAGCCTTACGGTCTCTCTGCCCCCGAGCCTTCAAGCAGTTGCAAGATTGGCTTTGCACATAACGCCAGTCATTAATGTTATGTTTGTGAATTCATGAGGATTCCACCCACATCTAAAGTGCAAACGAGGCTGTGTGTTCACAGTGAAAGAAAAATCATTTGGCTTAATTGGCCCAGTTCAGCAGACCTGATCTGGATGCCTTAGATTTCCCTGGGAATGTGGCTCCAACCGGTCAGAGTTGCTCCCTACCTTAAACTCTTCCTCTAATCCGTTGCTGCTGCTCCCCAGAATTTTGTTGTAAATCTTCTGAAGGTGGATCTCCAGTGAGGTCACCTCCAATTCTGTGTCTCCATATAAGTAATGCTCTAGAAGAGCTTGATAGATGAATACATACTGCATCTAACGGGAGACAACGTTCTTATTCAGCTCTTCATTTTATTTTATTTGTTTCACTTTTTTGCCCACTACATTCAAGAGACCCTTGACATTTCCAATCTCCAAACAAAAGAGACTCTCCATAGCTCAGGGCTGAACTGTGGAGTCCTTGGTGCTCTCTGAGTTGGGTTGTTTGCTTGCAGACGTTTTGTTACCCAACTAGGCAACATTGTCAGTATTCTGGACTCTATCAGGACTCTGTCAGGACTCTGACTTTGAGTCCCAATCTCAAAGAAAAGACATCCCTCCAATTTCATAATTTCAGTCCCCCCCTTCCAAATTAAACCACAGATGCAATAAAAAAACAACAACCAATCAAAAAGCAATAACAAAGGACAAAAATTCAAAGGCCCTCTTAAACAATTCTGTTTTTAATAATTTTCTAAAGTTTAACAGGATAGGAACTGATCCGATTTCAAGAGGCAGGGAGATCCATAACATCAGAGCCATCACAAAAAAAAATATGTTTGTGAATCTCCATACGCCTGATTTCATGGAAATGGGAAGCTACTACCAGATTCTTCAAGGAGTTCTGTACTGGGTGGATCAAATTGACTGAAAGAGATGGTCCTGGAGATGCTTCAGTTAAGGAATCTATTGGAATGCAGAAGAATCTCTGTATGGTTATTTAAAAGCCATATTTTAGGACACAGGTGGAGACATCCCTGCTTACTTCAGAGAGCCTGTGATGATTGGGTATTAGAACTGTCAATCAAAGACAGGGTACCTCCTTCTAGTTAAAATTCTGGATGGAAGTGGGGGCAGAAGAAGAACTGAAGGGGTTGAGGTGGAAGGGTAGGCCTAAGAGAAATTTGGGGTCCCAGCCAAGCAAATCATCCAACTGCCAAAGACAGGTTTAAGAATGTCAATTTAATGCTAGGGAAGGCAAGGACTAGTAGCCTATCCTGGAGAAAGTCTATCTTTGTGGTCCCTAAGAGTTGACATGCACATAGTCAATCATAAACGACATCTGCAGAGCCCCCAAAGTAAATTAAACACTTGCACACACTTTGCAGGATAGTCAAATCTCATGAAAATGTGATGGTCCCACCCAAAATCTTATGAGATTTTGGACAGGAACCCCACAACTTGTTGAGACTTGGCAACTCCAGAAATTTTGGCCACATATACAAGCTCCTGCTCACTCACTCTCACACACACACACACATCAATAATTTTTATGCCAGTACTTGTACTTAAGGACCTCTTGCTATGGCTGTGATCGTAGGCTGGGAACTATTGTAACCCCAACAGGACTACAAGTAGAGTAAGAACTACTGGAGAAGAGCCAGGCCAGTGATACAATCTGGGAAAATGGATCCTGTTAGAGATTTGTCTTCCAGGAAAAGACTTACATCAGTCTGTACCATCTGGCAGCGTTGGGCCCGGATTCGGCTCACAAACCCATAAACATCCACCTTCTTCTCTGCATGCATCATGTCCAGCATGGCATCGATCACAATGAATGTTCCTGTTCGTCCCACACCAGCACTAAAGGACAGGATGGTGAGAAGGGAGAAAATAAGGAAAACAACCCCTTTGGTATTTCAATTTCAGATGTTTTGAATCATAGCCTGCAGCTGGTAGACAATAAGGAAGACTCCTGTGCACTCTGGTGGGAATTTGCTGGACCCAAACTTTCCTGCATCCAGGGCTGAGATTATCTAGAGCAATGTTGTCCAAACTTGGCCACTTTGAGTGGACTTCAACTCCCAGAATTCCCCAGCCAGCATGGCCGGCCGGGGAATTCTGGGGGGTGGAGTCCACCCAAAGCGGCCAAACTTGGACAACATTGCTCTAGATAATCTGAATTCTGGGAGTTGAAGTCCACTCATCTTAAAGTGGCCAAGTTTGGACAACATTGCTCTAGATAATCTGAATTCTGGGAGTTGAAGTCCACTCATCTTAAAGTGGCCAAGTTTGGACAACACTGATCTAGAGAGCTTCCTCTTTGACTAGAGCCAGCTCTGTGCGTGTGTGTATGTGAGAAGACTATGGACTTGAAGAAGCATTCAGCAACCTATAAATGGTGCCTCCAGATATCCTGGCTAGTAAAAAGGCTGGGAGTGCCTCTTTTCCTCTACCAAACCAGCACTGACCTGCAGTGGACAACAATGGGGCCAGCATATTGGGGGTTACATGTCTTCACTTTCTTCAGGAACTTCAGCATCCCAATAGGAGTGAAAGGGACCCCAAAGTCGGGCCAGCTGGTGAAGTGGAATTGCGTCACGAGGCGCTGAGGTTTCTTATTGGTGACGTCGCCCACCTAGGAGGAAAGGTGGCAAACAGAGCCCAGGGTTATTCCTCAGTCATCTGGAATCCTGGCTGACCTCCTGGTCTTGCAAAATGCCCATGGCAGAAATTAAGAGGGACAGGTCAGATTAAGGGAGGGCAGGAATAGGGAAGCTATCAAGAAGATGGAGAGGAGAAACTTAGAAATAGGGCTGGTGCTCCCTTCCTTATGTTTCTCAGCAAGCTTTTCTTTTTTTAAAAAAAAATCACACCTTGGCAACAGGCTTGTCAATACTCCCATTTCCCTCTGCGGTGGGTGATGCCTTTTCACTGGGTGGACGGGTGGGGGGAGAAAGGTGTTGACTTTTGCTCTGGCTAGGACAACTCTAATGACAGCAAGCATTATATATCAATTTGCTCAGCAATTTATGTATAAGTCAGCAAGCAAGCAGAATTTGGGGGTAGATAGTCATGCATCTAAAAAGGCCAGGCCACTCAAACGCCAGTTGGCATACCTGTTGAATGCAGAATTTCCGCACCGTGTAGTCAACCAGGACTGTCACATCTTCTACAGACACTCGGATATTTCCGTACGTCCAACAGCCCTGATCTGGCCAATACTGGGCACATTTACACTGAAGAGAGACCACACAACACACCAAGATGCAATGCAGAAGAGCAGGCTGAAGAGATGTCCAACCAAGACCTCCTCAGCAGGACAGCATCTGCTGTACATGAAAAGCTTTTCCAAATTTGGTTGGGCAGCCTCACGGGCAGATTTGGCTTTGCCAAGTCTGCTGGCACAACCTGACCGGAAACTGCCTGAGTCTCTTCACCCAGCATGCCAGGGAGTGGCACGGCAGCAGAACAGGGACCACTCAGTTCGCCAACTGTGCAATGGGAGGCACGTCAAGGGCGGACAATGCATTCAAATTGAGTGAGATTCCCTCCCCCCTAGCAGTCCAAAGGTCTGGCAAGCACCAAAGAGTTTTGCCTTCACCCTTCTTCCAAGTCACACACTGTGATGGTGAAAACACCAGGACTGTAGTGAAGTAGTGATTGTGGCTATTACATAGTCACAAAGGACCTGTCAGAGGCATCATAGGGGTGGGGAAGAACACGGGACTCACCAACTCAGAGAGGCTATAAAAATGAATTGTTTGTTTGAAATACTTTTGTGGCTTGGAAATGGATGTTTTTCATAAATGGTTGGTTTACTTAGGGTGGCTGTCATCCACTCAGTCTGCTTTGAAAGAGGGTTCAGTCTCTCAGTTTAAAGTAGAAAACGTGAGCCCAGAGCAGTCCTTTTTTAAATACGTCTGTTCTTCCTTTTGAAAATGCTTTTATTTCTTTCCACTTTCAAAATGGGCTTGGTTTCCAAAGCTATGCAATACATATCATAACTTTAAACGGTTTATTTTTCTGTGATATTTTAATTACCGTTGAATATCTGCAAGACACCTGAACCAAGGACAGGGAAGATCGTCCTACGGGCTACGACTACGACTATAAGAGGGCTGAACTGGAGACAGAAATAAAGGTTTTCCAGGAAACCAGATTCTGCAGAAGAAGGTGTGACTTGTGTCTCTCACATCCGCCTCAACCCAGGCCGGCAGAACAGCTTCCTTTGCAAAATCCATTTTTCCACTTCTGCCACTACAGGTCTCATCAGTGGGGAAAACACAAGCCTTTCTCAGAGCCTCTTGGTTCTTTGCTAGATCACAACAGTGATAGTGTCACAAGCAAGCTCCACAGTCCTTCTACATGCCTCCTGCTAAGTCATCATCTATGTGTCTTCACTCTACCTTCTTTTCTGTTGCTATGCTGTTTCTAACATCATTTACCTCTTTCCTCTCCTTCAGATTGGTCACCATGACAATTGTGGCTGTGTTTTGCTCCCAAATCATTCTCCAGAAGTCATTCACAGTTTCTTCTTTTGGTCCTGCCAAGACAAAATAGGTAGGGAGTACCACCAGAGAACATTATTTATAAGAAAGACACAGGCAAGCTTCCTCCCGCTTTATGAAGCTGCTGGAAACAGAATCAGGCTTATACAATTTAACCCTGATCTGATAAATCCACTTGAAATTCCTTTCTCTTCTTTTTAAAAGGCTCAATCTTCAATCTCTTCTTCAAATAAAATCCCAGATAGTAATCTCTTACCATTCTCTCCCTGTCTATTTTCAGAAAAGGTTTCAGAGATTTAGCATTTCCCTTCTGTGGGTCCAAAGTAGGATATCTCTCAAAGATACTCTTCTGATCCATTACAACTTCCTTCTCTATGTCATTCTCATAATCAAGTGACTTTAAGTCCACCTTCAGATCTCCAGCATCTTTTCCCAAATCTCCCGTCTCTCTTATAGTCTAGCACAGTGATGGCAAACCTTTTGGGCTTGGCATGTCAAAAATTTGGAAAATGCCTAAATTGACTCTGCTGGTGTGTCATCCCCCCGAGCAAAAGAGAAACAATTCTTTACATATTCATTTATTTTAAAAAAATACAGTCCAATCATGTGTGTTGCTATGTATTAGATCAAGAAACACCAAACAATTACAAAAATGAAATAACAAACTCAGTTTCTCTGGTAACAAACAGGGAGAATAGTTGTTGTCGGGTGTTGGTGAACTCTGGTGTGTCGCCCAAAACATCATGGCATGTCAACTCTGACACGTGTTATACGTTTCTCATCACTGGTCTAGCATTTCTTTAAAGTCCATTTCAGAATCCTTATTCATATCGTCCTCAGCTTCTGTTTTATCCAATGAAATATTTTCCTCTTCTATAACCTCTGTTAGACCTAATTTTAGAAATATTTTGTGTAATTATAGAAACTATAATTGAACAAAAGAATCTCTTCTTTTCCCAAAAGATGGAACCAAAGGTACTCTTTCAGCCTCTCAAACATCTACAGTGTCAAACAGACCCGCTATTTCACTATGATTCACCTTCACCTTTCAACTCAAAATGCCACTGAGGTTTGATCGGGTATCAAATAAGTGGTTGGCCAACTCAAAAGGCAAAACCTTCATGGAGCTGTAGGAAGTTGGTGAGTTTGTTTTTTCCCCCAAATCACAAAGAAATGAGCAACATTTATCTAAGCCTTTTTCCCCCCACTTTAGATTAGGTGCTGCTGCATCAATGCCAGCTTGGAAAAACTCTGTAGGAAGAGATGTTCCATCCAAATACACATTGCTAGTCCTTGCAGTACAGAAATCCAAAGGAAATAAGTATTATCTACCTTGTGCAGCAATGAACCTGTTCTTCTCCTGATACCCCTGCAGGAACAGAAGCAACACAGAAATGAAAACGGTAATCTTTTTCTCTGGCATTGGTCAAATTCCAAAACACTGGCATCTTCTCACACATGGTAAGCTCTTTACTTTGCAAATATTGTCACTGTATACAAGATAAGAACCAACACAGATAAATCTATGCCAGGGCATCTGTGGATGCCCTGGATCTAGGGGTTACAACAGCTGAAGTTGACATGAGTACCAACTGCTACTGTTTCTTCTCTTCTGCTTGAAGAGAAAGAATATGTAAATCTCCCAGATATTCTCCTTGGAAGTATCTAAGGTGGATACATGGAAACGTGCATGTGCTTATGACCCACCCCAGAGGCAGACAGACATATCCTGCAACTCAGCTCATTGCATTTGATCTTCTCTCAAATTTTATGCAGGACCACCGATTTCCGTAGAGTCCATCCCACACACAGAGACCTCCAAGGGGGCATTTCTGCAGGTCCCACCATCGATAAGTCTAATATCAACCTACTTTCCCTGGTGGGGCCTATATTATAGTGGAACTAATGTTGTAACTGAAGTTAGATCCCTTCCTTATAGTTAAGGGGCTTTTACCTAGCTAAAACGTTTTTAATGATCTTGTTATATACCAACATTTAAATTGAATCTTAGAGACACTGTGCTCCTAGACCATAAAATGGGTGTGGGTGACATACACCTTTTTTTATGTCTCCCTACTTTGGCTAAGACAGGGAGAATGAGAAACACAAGCAATAATTCTAATTGATTCCAGTTCTGTAATCTCTTGATGCATTTAACCCATAGATGATGTATTTGCATTGACATATGCAACATGCCGGCAAGTGGCCAGAGGCAAGGAAAGAAACAAAGCAGATTATCGAACTGGATCCAAATTTGCAATTTTTGTTTTTTTAAATTGCACCTCTACAGGAGGTTCCAGTGGAAGCAGCTAAGAGAATTTCTTTAGCATTGCATCTGATCTGAGATCCCTAGCTCGTTCCTCTTTTTGAGAAACTGAACTGCAAAGAAAAGTATGTCTTGCTAATCAAGAAACAGGTATCCAACCTATGAACGTTCTTTCCTCCAAACAATGAAAGGTTAAAATAAACCTCCCGGGTTCAGGTGCTAAGACAACAGGCTCAAGCAAGCACCAACACTACATACTGGCATTTCAATGGAGAGATCTGTTCAATCCCCAACAGCTCTGAAGTTGCAGGATCTAGTGAATCAGAACTACTTGTGTAGTTCAGATTCCTGAGAACTGAAGTCTTGCTACCCAGAGATAATAGTGATTCCCAGAGCTCCGAACAACCTATCCAATTTTGGCAACAATAATATTTTTAGGCCATTTGGGTCACTGGTGCTGCACAAAGTTGGAATTCATTCTCCGAACAGCAAGGAAGTCCTATCCTGCTTCCCAACCTTTAGCAGATACTTACATTGATGAATGAGGCATTGATATAATCAGAGTCTGGAACCCCTTCAATAGGTGTCAGATGAACTCTGGAATGATCATCTAGGAGAGAAGGAGACGGTTAATGGCAAAAGCGTCAAGGCAACTTTTAAATGGAAGAAGTTCAGGGAAGTCAAATACACCTCCAAGAAGCTCAATCTTCACAAGGTCTGGCTTCAGTGCAGAGGAAAACGAGAGAAGTGATAACCCATTATAACCTATTACTGTCTTCTTTAGCCTGTTTTGTCGTGAGCATAGTCAAAGACTGTCTAGCCTTGGGAATCTTTTGTTAGAAAAATTATTACTACTTATGAAGTCCCAACTCAGTATTATTGTCTAGATTTCCCACACATTTATTTGCCTTGGGATTGACTTGAGGTTCTGCATGGGTTCTTGTGACCCTGGAGGACACCAACCTGTAGAACATCTACAACTATTATTAACTGAGTTACTGTGTCTCACCTTGGTAGCTCCATAAAAACAACCCAGTGAGCTAAGAGGCAGTGATTGAACCAAAATGGCCCATTAAAGTCCATGTTCCCAGCCAGACACCACAACACTGGTTCTTTAGTGTATGTAAGAGAATCCTTTGTTAGACCAGGTGCTTTATAAATGCCTCAAAGGAAGCAAGATATCACTGTGACATTTATACCTACAGCCAATGTGGTATAGTGGTTAAGGTGCTAGGCTAGGAACTGGGAGACCCAGGTTTAAGTCTACCTTCAGCCACAAAAAAAGACAAAAAATCATTTGGGTTGAGTGTGAATTAAAACACCAGTGATCACAAAGGTGTGGAGGGATGGGGAAACTGGATTAGAGAAGGGATGTAGTTTTTGCAGAAAAACAGTTGCTGATAGACAGTTATTTTACTATTGGTGTGTTTGTTCAATTTATATCCCACCTTTAGTTCAGGAGCTCAAGGCAACATACAGTACAACCCAAATTATTTTTTGTCTTCATCTTCCAAAACGAAGCCATTTTACCAAGTCCTGGAATTAGAATCGTTATTCCTATGCTACAAGAAGATCTGCTTTCCTGCATCTTGCTATCCCTTAAGGACATATCTCCTAGGCAACCCCGTTCTCCTCGTTGCATCACAATTTGGCACCACAAAAGCAAGATGGCCAAAAATCAATAATTCTCAAACCTCCGTTCAGCACCTTCACAATAACAGGACCTCCTCACTGAGTGAGAACTGTCTCTTTTTCAAAGGAGATCAATATCTGGAGCTTTGGATATTTAAGCAGTCAAAGGGTAATGTAAAATAGCTTTGCAGAAGGAGCAGAGAACTGTAGATGGCCTTTAGAAGCACAGCAGAGAAGACTATGGGTCACCTTGGATGCAAGGACTTCTTCTGGTCAGCACCAGCCAAGATTCAAAGCTATCACCCCCTGGCCACAATCCTGTAAGTGTGATCCACTTCACTTAGTGGGGAAATAAAAAGGGATTAACTCCTATTAGATCATCCATTTCCTGATCTGGCTTCCAGGAAGGATCTCTGTCTGGAACGCTCAACAAATTCTCTGACCTCTCCTAACTCTCTTGGTACCTGAATCTCTACTTTTGGGCCCTTCCTGACATCATCCACCCTGCTTGTTATAAATTCATATGTTTCCCATCTATGGCAATTTCCAGATGTGGGGACTTCAACTCTCAGAATTCCCTCGATGGTATAAACTTTGTTGAGAATTCTGGGATTTGGGCCACTCGCCTGGAAGCTGCCAAGGCTGGGGTACAGGGACCTCAAATACTTCGTTCTCCTGTACTTTCCTGAGCAAAAATTGAAACTTTGCCCTTTTGTGTAGAGAGAATTCATTGCTTGGCTTCCCATGTTGTAGGAGAGGAGGGTAACTAAGATGACCCAGGGCTGGAGCAGCTTCCCTATGAGGAAAGGTTGTGACATTTGGGGCTTTTTAGCCTAGAAAGGAGGAAAATGAGAGAGGACATGATTGAGGTGCACAAAATTATGCATGGCGTGGATGAAGTGGACAAGAGAAAGCTCCTTTCCCCTTCCGAAAATACTAGAACCAGAGGTCACCTGATGAAATCGACTACTGGAAGACTCAGGACAGACAAAAGGAAATATTTTGTTTACATCACACGTAATTAAACTTTGCAATTCACTACCACAAGATATGTTACTGGCTAACAGCTTGGCTGGCTTCAAAAACAATTTGGACCAATTCATGGAATTCCTGGGGATCAACGGCTCTTAGCCTTGATGGCAGCGGGGCTGCCTCTGAAGGCCACCTGCTTGGAGACTGGTGGGCTTCCTTGTGCAGTTGGTCGGCCACTGTGAGAACAGACTGCTGGACCAGATGGGCCAGGGGTCCAGTCCAGCAGGACACTGCTTATGTTCTTACAACTGTAGCCACAGTCACTAGAAATCAATCAGCAGAAACCAGTGAGTATCAGTACATACAAGGCAAAATGTTGACGTATCTGTTCTTCTCCTTGTTTTCTTCTTTAGAGGCAGCTTCACAGGTAGCCTGGATGGGACATGCTGGAAGTGCCTGGAAGAACAGAGTGAACATAAAGAGCTTGACTGTTATATCTCTGCTAATCATGAGAGCCAAACATTCAACAACTTTTACTGCTGTTTAGCACTGCTTGTTTTGTAGGAGCCAAAGTTCATGGGGACCTTTGCTTCAAGGGCATGGATAGAAAGTCCCAGGGAAGACACCGAGTTGCCAATTCTGCAATCTTTGAGCATCAAAATCTATGTTGGGCTGTAATTCCCCATCATCCCAGTCAGCATGACAAGAACTCTCTAGATATGTTTGCAAAAGAGATGGGCCATTCTTGGTTGGCATAAGATCATGGAACGCCTCCAGCCCCTATCCTTGGAGCAGTATGGCATTCCTGATCGAAGAGTAAAAATGCAGTAAGGGGCACAGAGGGTCTACAAACTGGTCCAGAAATGAGCAACAACTCTCTTATTACCAGTACAACCTACCACACCTGAGGGGATACTAAAGAATACAAATGAGAACCTGGTTTAGTTTAGAAGTCCTCAACACACATTTGCAATTTTGAGAGCATGTGCTCTGTAGCATGTTAGCCTCCTGTTCATTTCTCAAAATCATAGGTTGGAGGCTGCACCACCACTGTGCACCAATTAAGGAGAGGGCCTCTGGCAAAAGTTTAGGTCTTGGCTCTGGAAGATTCCACTTCAAAGTAGGGATGTGTATTCCCTATTCAGATCCAAGGTGCTTCCAAGGAGTTTCATGAACATTCCAGAATTTGGCCTATCCAAGCTTCTTCATGAAACTTGTTCATCTTTTAACTTGGCTGTGTTGACAGGCGATTCCCCTAAACACAAGTCAACTACTATCCTAGATTTAGGAATATTTATTACAGTGCAAAGACCATCATGCAAGGACCGCGTGGCATAGTGGTCAGAGGATCGTGCTAGGAATGGGGAGAATCATGTTCCAAACCCCATTAATTTGGGGCCAATCGCTGACTCTCAACCAATTATATCACAGGGTTGTTGGGAGAGAGGAAAGCAGCATAAAGGATGTAACGTGTCTGAGGCATTCCTCACACAAGCGTCCAATTACAGGGCAAAGAAAGTGTTTAAAGGGGTAAAAATAATGGGGAGGGGACAAAATATCAGGAATCTGGTAACACCTTTTCCAAATGACACATTTTATTAAAAGGCATCAACTTTTGTCAGCTGCAGCTCCCTTCAGCAGCTCCCTTCGGCAGCTCCCTAACAGGGTGGGATGGGGGCACACTAATCTTTTAAACAAAGATTCTGAACTAACCCTATCAACTTTGCAAAGAGATTTCAGCGAAACAAGGATGTTGGTGCTGACGTGCACCACAAGGTGGCACCGAAACTTCCTTCAGTCCAACCTTCAACCTGAGGAGCAGAACCTGAAAACGGGCACATCTCAAAACAAGGGGTGGCCAAAAGACCATAAGTGTAACTTTTCAAAAGGAAAACTAAGCTGGATCAACAACTCCCTCTCCACCAAAAGGAGGGGAGGTAAAGGAATGAGGAATAAAGTCTCATCACTCTTCCAGTGTCAGCTTCCTCTCAAAGTTAGCTGGATCCAGACATTCAAAACCAGTTGCCCAGCAGATGTTAAGTTGCAAACAGCAGTGAGAGAACCATGACACAACGTGAACTTCTAATTTCCTTCAGAGTTGTTCTCACTAGACAGAACACAGAAATGGAGGGAGGGAGGAGGGGAAGAAAGGGAGATGTTGGCCAAAGCACCCTCACCGTGTACCTTCCAGCAGATCCCTGACTTAGCTTAACCTATCTAACTGCATTTAGGTTTTGTGCGGTGATCAGAGAGAGAACAGAGATCTATTCATATTAGTAATCGACGTCTTAATTATCCCAAACAAAACAGATACTGCTATTGTCATTTCAAAGGGGCTTAAAAAGGAGTGGAGAAGGGTTGGCGTTCCCATGCTTGAATCCAAGAGTAACGATTCTGGTTGAGGTTGAGAGTTAGTGACTGCCCCCAAAGTAGTGGGGGTTGAATTAAGTTCTCCCCATTCCCAGCATGATCCCCTGGCCACTCTGCCACCCTTTCCATGATGGGCTTTGCATTGTAATAAATATGACTAAAGCTAGGATAACAGTTGAGGTGTTCAGGGGAATCACAAGTCAAAACAGCCAAGCTAAAAGATGAACAGGCTTCAGAAAGAAGCTCAGATAAACCAAGGACTCCAGAAGGCAGGGAAGCAACACATGAATGGAAATCCATTCTTCTCCATTTTGGAAGAGCTCTTAAGTTTCAAATACCTCTTTAGGTCTCAACACGTGAGGAATTGTGCCCCCAGTGTTTAATCCTAACTCTGCAGGCTGTCCATCTTGACACTAATCATCCCCCCACGCTTGACTTCAATAGTGAAATGCCTGGGGCTCTCTTCCTCATGGTGTGGTGACAAAACAGCAAAACATGCTTAAGAGTCTGCTATGGTGCAACCAACATCAAAGCGTAGGATTCAGTGGAAGATGGCTGCATCTTAGCAGAGTCACAATTAGCTTTCAAGAGCTTGGGTGGGTTTAGATCAATACCCCATAAAACCAATTTCCATTAGGAGAATAGGAAAAGAAGGTGAGGGTGTTTGGAGCGGGGCCCAAGCAACAGGGTCAACTGAGGACAATCCTGTAGGACTCTTGAACTAGAAAGTCTGGACGGCAGGGAGGGGCCATGCAGCACATCTCAGAAGCTTCTGAAGCCTCAGACAAGGCAATAGCCATTCCTGGGACCTTCCAGGTTCAATGCAAACCAGAAGCAGCAAAACTCAAAGTGTGCTCTGTGACCGACAAAGTCATTAGCAGGTAGAGAAACAGCTCCTTCCGCTTTGTCTTCCCTTTGCCTCTCTATCCCTCTCTTTTTAAATTGCCTTTATTTAATAAAACTGAACAAAGGGGAATAACAAAACCGCAAAAGAAACAAAAAAGACGAGGATAAAAGAACGCAATGCAACGAAAGCAAAATGCCATTGATCTATCCATCGATCAAGCAAGCAAACGGCTTCTCCTATGTGCTATATGAAATGTGACACAATAAAGGATAACTATATTCCACTGCAGTTGTCCGTATAGAACCTAATTGGTTACAGATGTAGATTATGCCTGTTTCTAAGATGTAAGAAGCAACCTTCAGAGCTTCTGAATGCCAAAAATGTTGCATACACCCATTCCCAGTGTGCGTTTCTTATTGGCTTTGACAACTAATGTGTGAAGAACAATTAATGTTTACGGGTACTCTGTAGTCACCAAGGTGTGGTTTATATTAGAACAATGTTTCTCAACCTTGGCAACTTTAAGATGTTGGCTGGCTGGGGAATTCTGGGAGTTGAAGTCCACACATCTTAAAGTTGTCAAGGTTGAGAAACACCATATTAGAGGAATGATGATTTCTACATAGACAAGGTTCCTCCAGGTTGGACTGCCATAAGCTTGACTTCCATCATGATAGCAAATCTTCAGTTAAAAATACAAAACAGAACACAAAGACACACACACGATCTCAAAACACCGAAGGAATGAACAAGGGGTTGGGGAGGGGGGAGAAAAGAAAGCGACGTCAAAGGCGAGCCAAGTACCCACACTGAATTCCTCCCGGAAGAGCTTGTTGTCATCTGCCATTCGCCGGTTAATGTCCTCCTCCAGTTTATCCACAGGCAACGGTGGGTATTTCCTGTTGGTACTGGGAGATCTGGCCAGCAGCGGCATGCTCTGGGGTTCTGCATTACCGACACACAGAAGAGAAATGGGTTTTTTTTGTTTTGCTGGGGACACTGGCCACCGGGCCCCTGAAGTCGATGGAAAGGAAAAGGAGCAATGCTCTTCTTGAAAAAGCAAGAGCAGATCAACCCACCCCCACAAAGGCAAATTGAGCGTGCAGAGAGGGCGCACAAAGGCCTTGTAGCTTCTACAAGAAAAGCAGCAAAATGCAGAGGTGAATACCTCTGTTGAATTGTTGAATACCCCAAGGATCCACCCTCTTTCTTCTTTTCTTCTAGAGAAAACAAATCCATTTCCTTCACAGACGTGATCAAGTGAAGCCCAGCAACCTTTTCAAACCTCCCGTTTGTCTTCTTAGTTCTGGGGCTGGCAACCTGTTCAGGCCCCTGGCCCCATATGAGGGCTTCCTTCGCCACTCCGCTGTGATGCGTTAGCTCAGGGAAGCATTATGCAAGGAGCGAGGTGCCCCCCCCAGCCCTAAAGCATAGATAAGGCGGCAACGGGCAACCTGTGTCCCTCAGCCTGGTTTCACAAGCTCTCTGCAAGGTACCAATTTAGCTTTTGGGCAAGAACCTCCCTTCTGAGCAGCATGCCAGGGAGGGAAGCAGAAGGAAGAAAACGGAAATGCCCCTGGCTCACTTCTGACTTCAACAGATTATCTTCACTGGTGGCAGTGGTGACAGTGACACTTGCCTAACCCTATTATAAGGGGAAGCTGTGTTCTGGGGTGGGGTGGCAGTACAACAACCAGCTGTGCAACAGCCTTCTCCCCACGGCACAGCTGCAGGTGTCAGAAGATGGAGGAACCAGCCAGTCTTAGAACATAATGCAGGAACGGATCGAGGAGGGTGAAGAGCGAGGCTTAGGGATTCTAGCTCCCGACTCAAGAGAAGAGATTGCAAGACTCACCGACGTCATCTGCCCGGCCGTTGGACAAGTGAAAGGAGTTGGAGTGACTCCCTGCCTGCTTGTGTTTTTTGAACCTATAAGCAATAAATAAATAAATAAATAAATAAACAAACAAACAAACAAACAAACAGGGAATCAGCAGAGCTCATAGCCCAGGGGCCTAACATGCTGCAAAAGAATATCCAGTAGATTATACATTCCAACAAAAAATAATATCCTAATGCAGTTGGATTCTGCACACGCACACCCCCAGAAACTCTAGGCAGCATGTGATATAAGAACAAGCTTACATCGAAAGGATGGTTGGTGCAAATGGACAGAGAGAAATTAAAATTACATGAAGGAAACAAGACACCTTTAATTGTTGTACGCCACACAGAGTCACTTTGTGAGAGATGGGAGACTATATAAACGTGATAAATAAATAATAAATAAATAAATAAACGTTCTGAATATTTAAGGAAGAGACAAAGTAATTTCCTTATAAGCTCGTCTTCAAAGCAAGAGATTTTCAGGGAAGCATGGCACATAGCCTCTAATGATTACATACTATTAAAATGCAAAAATTAGCATATCCTCATTTAAATAGGCGCGACCACAACCACACGCACACACACACACTCACTATGCAGCTAGAGATCAGACAAAACTCTGACTGAACTTGCAGAACTCTGAAACAGCACATCTTTCCAGATCCAAAAAATATTCTAAAAATTAGGGCACTTGGTGCTCAAACAACTTTGCAATAGATCAACAGAGATATAATACCTACAATATTTGAATATATATTACATTCACTGAGCTCTGACTCAGAGGAGGGGACACATCCATTTCTTTCCCCCAACTGCGTTTGTGTCTTGCTATGCCTCCTTTTCTAAAAACCCACTCTTTAAAAAGAACTGCTCCCCCTCCAAGCTTAGCATAAAAGTTCTTGCTGTGAAATTCTTCTTTTCCTGCTTAGCTGTTCTGAACAAAGAGTCAGGGAGTCAGTTGCATACAATATTCCCCATCACGGTTGATCCATGTTTGCCTCTGCATGAGTATTCGGGGTTAAGCAAAATTGGTAACTGCACAGACTATTCCACAGCACAGCATTATACCCTCCTCTCAGCCCATGGCTGAAACATGCCAAGAAGCCTAAACTGTGTCCCTGTCAATCCAAGCACAAGAAAGTTTGCATACGACTTTGGGAAGTCATCAGCAGATATACTGAGAAGTCGATAAAGCCTTCTCTGCACCATGAAGCTAAACCAGCAGGCCTTTTCTGAGGCTCGATTCACTGGAATTTATCTGGCCAATGAGGAAGAAAGCATCTTCCAGTGCAGGATGACCTCCCTTGCATGCTAGTTTCATCCACGCGGAATCAGCGGAGGAGATTTGCAAGGAGATGTGTTTCTGGGGTACGGTGCATCACTCTGCAATGTAATATGATGGCTGAGGCCATGTTCAAGAGCACACAGAGACAGCAGGGTCTGTGTAGTAGGTTTTGTTTCTAACAAATGAAGCCTCAAATCAAACCTGCCCGTTCCATACCGATTTATAAAACCTTCCCCACCCTTCCTGTCATTGGGAGAGGTTTCTTGTTTTTCGATTCGGGCAGCCAGTTTTTAAACAGTACTTTTGGGCGCCCAGGTGATTTCAGATAACAGCAAACCATCTACAAGATGTTTCCCACAAACAGTGACATGATTGCTTCCCTGTTCAATGAGAGCCTTTCTATTCACTTATTCTTGTGTAATTGAAAGTTATTTCCATCTCTTCCTCCCCTCCCATCACACACCTCTTCGGATGGACCATTACTTTTCACATACAGATGGTTGGGGACCTTTGTCACTTATGAGTTCAACATTATTTCTGGAGCTAAAGAGTGTGTGAGAGAGCGAATCTAGCCTTCACCTCTCAGTCACCCGTTATACGCTTCTTTGAGAGTAGCCCGGCATCTAGATAAGTAGGCATAGGGTTGCATTTCCAGAAAATGAACCCTAAATCTATCCATTCTAAGAATCGCAGGCAAGCAAAGGCTTGTTTGTATGAGCAGAACAAATACACAAATCCAATTCGTTCTCCCTGATTTCCCATCCTTTATCATCCCATTTGCTTTGTCGACAACAGGGCATACAG